ATGGATACTCACCAGCACCCTGACTACCAGCAAAGTGGTGATCATTGATGCCAACCAACCAGGCACTGTTGTGGATCAATTCACAGTTTGCAATGCCCACGTCCTATGTATCTCCAGCATCCCTGGTGAGTTAGGGCTCCCACTTCCAGGTGCTGTCCAACAGCAGGTGCTTGCTGCCTGTGGACTGCCCTGCAAAGCTGGTGTTTGAGGCGGGTGGCTCTTCCTTTTCAGCCAGGTAGGACTGGGATACAGAGTAAATAGGAATTAGAGACCTGGGCATGTGAATAGATGTTTTCAGAATAGATGTGTGTCGAGTTACCTTTCAGCATGTGTCCAGGAAGAAGCTGTCCAGGGTACAGGCAAAGGTCCTAGCTTCCTCAGCAGCAGTCCCATGACTGCTTAGCCCAGCCCCAGGATAGTGCTGAGGGCCCCACGGATCTTTGCTTTGAACCCTTACCTATTTACTGAGATGGCCTCTACTCCTTGGAGTTCTTCAGGATCTTTTTGTATGATGGAGCAGAGCATTATTTTTCAGTTCCTTTTGACCTGTAAGCTTGACACTAGGCCTGAGAACAGATGTTCCCAGAGGGCCAGGTGTTGCTGTGTGGAGACTAAGCTAACTGAGAGCAGAGCCAGCCAAGCAGACAGTTCCCATTCTCCCCTGCCTCCACTGAGATGGAACTCTGGGGTGGCTTTATGATGTTGGACTGATGGGCTGGGAATTTCTCCCCAGCGGCCAGCGACAGTGACTATCCCCCTGGGGAGATGTTCCTAGACAGTGATGTGAACCCCGAAGACTCAGGTGCTGATGGTGTGCTGGCTGGCATCACTCTGGTGGGGTGTGCTACCCGCTGCAATGTACCACGTAGCAACTGTTCCTCCCGAGGAGACACTCCAGTACTGGACAAGGGGCAGGGTGAGTCCCGGGTAGTCTTCTCCCTATCCACACATTCTCTTTCTCTGCCTTGCCCAGCTTACTTCTCTCTCCACAGGGGATGTGGCAGCCACCGCCAATGGGAAAGTAAACCCATCCCAATCCACAGAAGAAGCCACAGAAGCCACAGAGGTGCCAGACTCTGGTCCTAGCGAGCCAGAAGCAACCACAGTTCGGCCCGGGCCCCTCACAGAGCATGTCTTCACTGACCTGGCATCTACCCCACCCTCCAGCACCCAGCCTGCCAGGTAGGTTGTATCAGATGAGAGGGGGGATGACAGAGTTCGGCAGGGAGCAAGCATATACTTCTCTGACCCACTGTGTTACAGCTACCGTTCTTCTTGCAGTGAGAATGGGCCAGAGCCCGATGGCAGCATTGTACAGCCTCAGGTGGAGCCCAGTGGGGAGCCCTCTGCAACCACCAGTAGTGCTGCACCCACCATGTGGCTAGGAGCCCAGAATGGCTGGTAGGCAAAGACACAAGACATGGGACGTGGTAGGGTGGGGGAGTTCAATGAGCCATGTAAACTCTGCCTACCTACCTTACCCTGCAGGCTCTACGTGCATTCAGCAGTAGCCAACTGGAAGAAGTGTCTGCACTCCATCAAGCTAAAAGACTCTGTGCTGAGCCTGGTGTATGTGACCCCCACTAAGGGATGGGGTTAGGGACTCAAGGGCCCAGCAACCTCAGCCTACCTCACTGACTTACCATTCCAGGCATGTCAAAGGCCGAGTGCTGGTAGCTCTTGCAGATGGGACCCTGGCTATCTTCCATCGTGGCGAGGGTAAGGCCCGGTGGCCCTTGCAGAGGCAAGCCTAGGGTTTGCTGGGTTCCTTGGTTCCTGGGTCCATTGGTCCATCCTGAGCCTGGTGGTAGGTCCTCCACACTAATCATGTGATCAGAGATAGACCCTAGCCAAACTTGAGCAGGTGTTCTGGGCTCTTTCTAGATGGCCAGTGGGACCTGAGCAACTATCATCTGATGGACCTGGGCCACCCACACCACTCCATCCGTTGCATGGCTGTTGTAGACGACCGAGTCTGGTGTGGCTACAAGAACAAGGTGCATGTCATCCAGCCCAAGACAATGCAGATCGAGGCAAGTGTTAGCCGGTGGCCTCCATTGTGGCGAGGGGCTTCTGCCAGATTGGAGGTTGGGACAGGCAGTGTGTCATTAAGGTGGACCCTGCATTACATCACAACAAGCCCAGATCCCTTACCTCTCCATTACCCACCCCTGTTGACTGGCTGCCATCAACCAACAGAAATCATTTGATGCCCATCCAAGGCGGGAAAGCCAGGTGCGACAGCTTGCCTGGATCGGTGATGGAGTATGGGTTTCTATTCGCTTGGATTCCACCCTTCGACTCTACCATGCTCACACCCACCAGCACCTGCAGGATGTGGACATCGAGCCGTATGTTAGCAAGATGCTGGGTGAGCAGACATAGTGGGCATATGCCTATAATCCCAGCACTTGGGAGGTGGAAACAGGAGGATCAGAAATTCAAGGTCATTTTTAGTTATATAGTCAAATTTCAGGCCATCCTGGGATACATGAGGACCTGCCTCAATATAAATCAAATAAGATGCAATGTTAGGGAAACACCTGGGGCACCCATCACTGGCTATACTGACCGCTCTTCCTGTTCTCACCCAGGTACCGGCAAGCTGGGCTTCTCCTTCGTCCGCATCACAGCCCTACTCATTGCGGGCAACCGTCTGTGGGTGGGCACTGGCAATGGGGTTGTCATCTCCATCCCCCTGACTGAGAGTAAGTTCCCAACCCTAGAGGACACCTATCCAGAAAGCAGCAGCTATGCTAAAGGGTTTCCAGAGTAGGTGGAACTGGGGAGCCACCTCTCTGGCCAACTCAGCCTTCCTTCCTCTCTCTTCCCCAGCTGTGGTCCTACATCGAGGCCAGCTTTTGGGGCTCCGAGGTAAGTCCTCAGCACTTGCCCCCATGTGACTTGGGACATTTGCTCTGCCCCTAGCACTCACCATCTCCAGCTGCCTGCCCAAGATAAGGTGGTCCTATTCTCTGGGCCCTGTTTTCTAGCCAACAAGACATCTCCAACATCTGGGGAGGGGACCCGCCCAGGGGGTGTCATCCATGTGTATGGGGACGACAGCAGTGACAAGGCAGCCAGCAGCTTCATCCCTTACTGCTCCATGGCTCAGGCTCAGCTCTGTTTCCATGGACACCGTGATGCTGTCAAATTTTTTGTCTCTGTGCCAGGTACATAGATGATCTTTAGCTTCTTTGCCCACTGTGCTACTGTAGCACAGCTCTGACCGTTTCAGGAGGCTCTAGCCCTAAGATTCCTCTGCCCACCACAGGAAATGTACTTGCCACTCTGAATGGCAGTGTGCTAGACAGCCCATCAGAGGGTCCTGGGCCTGCTGCGCCTGCTGCAGATTCTGAGGGCCAGAAGTTGAAGAATGCACTGGTGCTGAGTGGTGGTGAAGGTTACATTGACTTCCGCATTGGTAAGTCGGCACAAGCTAGAGGTAGGGCTTGGTGTGGGTGTGTGGGGGAGTCCTCATGACTGCCAATCCTCCAGGGGACGGCGAGGATGATGAAACAGAGGAAGTTGCCGGGGATGTGAACCAGGTGAAGCCCGTGTTGTCCAAGGCTGAGCGCAGCCACATCATCGTGTGGCAGGTTTCCTACACCCCTGAGTGAGAACCTGCCCTGCCTGATGCCAACTGTACATAGGACCCTACCTGCCTGCCCCCCCGCCTGTTCCCTGGGGCAGTCAGGTTCGTCCATCCCCTTTTAACCTCTCAACTTGCAGCTTTTGCCTGAGGTCCAACCCCCAGCTGTTAGAGAGGGGTGAAGCAAGTTTGGGGAGTGAGGCAGGAGGAGGAGAGCCTCTGGGACACCCTCTCTTCAGCAGCTCCTGGCCCTGGCCAACACCCAGCCCCAGTGAAGTCCCAGGGGCCCCTCAGGGCAAGTCAGGACCAAGATTGCTATGGGCAGCTCCCACAGGTGGCCCTGGCAGGAGCGGGAGCCGCATACTGCCAAGTCTTCCCCAAGTCTACTTGCTTTGCATGCAGCCCTGAGGGACCCAGGCCTAGCCACTGTCCTCTGCCCAGAAGCAAGGCTAGACTGTCTGGATTCCGGGACCTCAGCCAGCCTTCTCTGGAATTTTCCCTATCTCCAAACTTACATTCCCTTGGCCCCAGCCTGGGTCTTACTTGGGAACCTGGCATGAAAGCTCAGGGCCGTCCTCCCTGGGCAGCTGCTTCAGAAGATGACAAATATCCATTAACCCAAGGGATCCCAAGATTGTCCAGCCCCTCATAGACCAGTGTCCCCTAGGCTCTTCATGGGCACAAGATTAACCTTGGAGGAGCAAGACCCTAGTGCCCTGCCCCTCTCAGAAGCCCCAAGGATAGAATTTCTCAGGCTGCCAGGGCAGGCACAGGCCTCAGGAAGAAGGATGGCCCTGGTGTCCCCAGAGTCAGTCCTAGGATGCAGGTTAATGGAGGATGGTGTGCTCCCAGGGCCTGCCTCCTGCACAGGGCTCAAAGGAGCCCAGCTCGCGGACACGTACTAAGTGCCTAGGGCTGCCAGCTGTGGCCTGCTCCCTTGGAGAGCAACTAACAGAGGCTGCCAGGCAGAGAGGCCAGAAGAGCTGAGGACTGGCCAGGATGGGCAGAGTTATAAGCAAGTGTGTGGAGGCAGGTGCTGCCCTGGCCCTGGTCTTACTCTTCCAGGGGCATTGATCAGAGTCAGCTGGCCTCTACTGCCCTCTCACCACCAGAGAAGCACAGATCCAGGGGCACTCACTGCCCCTGAGCCCACCTGGCCACAACAAGCTGCAGCATTGTGCAGCTGCAGGCTTTTCCCCACCATCCTGCCACCTCTCCACTGTGATGTATGTCCCTTGTCTGTTCCCACAGGAGTGTGAAGTGACTGGGGTTAGCTGGGTGGGTGCAGCTGGAGGAAGGGGCCAGTGCAACTCTCCTCAGGCTTTGGCCTTGCAAGTGAACTCACATATCTGCTCTGTATGTAATAAATGTCTTAACAGTACTTTTGTCTTGAAACTACACCAGTGCACAAGGGTTTTCTGCAGTTTATTATGAAAAGAAATACAGGGAGGGATGTGGGAGTGGCTGTCCCTGGACAGACTGGGTCAGGTGGACCTGCACCCATAGCACTGTTCCTGTGCCGAGCTCTGTGAGGATGGTGAAGACCAGCAACCTCCAGGTTGGTAACGCTGACTTTAGTAGCATCTATTCATACAGCCAATGCCCAGCGCTGTCCTCCCAACACAGAAGCTCTTCCTCGTGGAACCAAAGCGCAATCTCTCTGTGAGCGCTTTCCACCGAGTCACTGCCATGAATCACATTCCTGTGCGGGAATGGCAAGTGAGCCGGAGAGGAGGGGCGAGGGGTGGCCAGGGAGTTTGGTAGGACTTACTTGCCAACTTCCACGCAGAAATCCCCACGGATAGTGCCAGGCATGGCGTCCCCTGGGTCAGTGGCCCCTATGAGGGCCCGCGAAGCACGCACAACGTCCATCCCTTGCCACACCTGCAGGGGTTACTGTCAGTGTGATAAGCGCTCCCAAGGCCTCGCCCTCCCCATGCAGATCATTGGAAACTCACCATGGCCACCACGGGACCAGAGCTCATGTATTTAACTAGTCGGCTGTAGAAAGGTCTCTCGCGCAGCTCGGCATAATGCTCCCGCAACAGCTCTTCGGAAGCCTAGGGAAGAGACGGCTACCAGTACCAGGGCCCCGGCCCTAGACCCGCCCTGGGCCCACTAGCTCCTTTGCCCGCCCATACCTGCACTAGCTTTAGTGCCACCAGCTTGAAGCCCTTTCTCTCAAAGCGACGCACGATCTCGCCCACCAGCCGCCGCTGCACGCCGTCGGGCTTCACTGCCAAGAACGTGCGCTCGTTCACGCCGCTGTAGGCTGCGAGAGTACTGACTTCAGGCATGCCCCACCACGCACCCAGACCGGCCCCAGTCTGCCCTGGTGCTCACCTGCGGGAAAGAGGTTAGCGAGGATGGTCAGCACCAGGCAGATCATGGCGGCGGATGGGGCGGACCAGGCGGCGAGGGGGCGTGGCCTCCCTTAAAGGACCTCCAGGCGCGGGCTCAGCAGTCCCAGCACATTTCAGCACTGAGTGGTGTACCAGAGCACCAGGCACCCTGCTGCGAACCGCCGCCTTCCCTGCCCCGTCCTGAGGTACCCACGTAATGAAACCACAACACGGGCCACTTCGTGCCTTTATTTCCAGACCAAAAGTGCGAGTAAGAGGCCGCCTGAAACCGACAGCCTGTCAACTGCGCCACCATTCATTGGGAGGTGTGTCAGGGCTGTAGGGTCTAACTCTCCACCAAAAGGGAGATCTGGCACAGTCAAAGACACTTGTCCATCAAATGACTCAAACGACTTCTCTGCCCGTCCTGGCAGTTAGACTGGGGTTCCCTTGGCCTTCCCTTTGGTCTCCTGTTTTGCAGGGTAGTCCCAGGGATGCACCCGAGTCCTCTCCAGGTTTAGGAGCGGCTCCTGGACACTGGTATCCCCATTTTTCTGTCGTTCAGCAAGGATCATGGCCCGCAGCAGAGGTGGGTAGGGGACAGGGTTCAACCTGTCCTCTGGTTTCGCAGTGAACGCAGTGAAGGCCTCCTCTTCGTGCTTGGGTACCAACCGCCAATCGTGGTACATGACATGCTCGATTTCCCGAGCCTCATCCTCACTCTTCCCTGGGGAAAGAAGACAAGCTGACTGCCTGCTGGTTGGATAACCTGCGAACCATAACAAGCTCCAACTAGCACCCAGCCTTACCTTTGAAGGTCAGGATGCCCCAGGCCCTCCCGTGGTCCAAGTTCTGCAGAACAAGAGGGGGAATTATCAACACAGAGCCACTGCTACTAAGTTACGGAGGTAAGGGAGGCATACAGGCCCAGGTGGTTCAGGGTGGGTAGAACCAGCCGGTGTGGTCCAGGAAAGTGTAGACAAGAACGGGCAGCACAGGGAGAGAGCGCACCTGCGCCGTGTAGTCGGGCCTCACTCGCGTGAGGCGCCAGTAGCACGGCTCGTCGTGCTGCCATAGCCAGGACTTGCGGGTGACCAGACGGCCCAGGCCAAACAACGGGAGGCGGGCGAGCAGCTGTAGGAGGCGGCTCTCACGGCGCACGTCGGCCCAGGCGCGCACCGGCAGCCGGCGACCCGAGTGTGGCCGGGTCAGAGTCTCGTAGTCTAGGGCGTAGAGCTGCGAGTCTCGCGGCTGGTTCCGCTGCTCGCGCAAAGCGCGTATGCGGCGGGCCAGCTCGGCGATCAGCCGGGGTCTCACTCTCTTCCGCGCCATGCCTGTGTCCTTATACCGCCGGAAACTTGTGCTTTTGGAGCTCTCCCGATCCGGAAGCGGTCGGTGTCCTGTACAAAAGCATCCGGGTACATCCGGAAGCTGTAGGAAGGGTGGACTATGGCAGAGGGAGAACCCAGGAGAGCTACGGGCCAGCGTCGCGGCCGGGGTCGGGGCCTGGGTCAGCGGCGACCTCAAACCTGGGAGATCTCCGACTCAGACGACGAAGGTGCCGCCGCTAGGAAGGTGGGCACGCAAGCCTCGAGTACAGCAAGCGAGCGCAGGACTGCGGCCAAGGCATTACGGGCGGATCAGGTCCTGAGTCGCCTGGCGGTGTGCGTGGATCCAGGTGCGGGGCCGGGGGTGGAGAGGCTGGGAACTTGGGGCTGGCTCCACGTCAGGGTGGCAGCGTCATCCACAAGCCCTCACGGGAGAGGGTGAAATGACCGAGCTGTCGTCTACCGGGCCCAGCTATCCTGGAAGATGCAGGTTCCGATATCCTGATGGAGGCATTGGGCACGCTAGGCTGTGAATGCCGCATCGAGCCGCAGCTCCTGTCCCGCAGCCTGCAGTGGAGCGTCGTGAGGACCGACCCAGCCCCCAGCAGTGTGAGTGTCTCACTATCACCACCCTAGTGCCGGTCTTATTTCAGGTTTCACTTCGGCCTCTGGCTAGCGAAGTCTCTGCATCTATCTTTCTTGCCTCGCACAGGAGTAACCTAAAAGCTGAAGGATGCCCAGTCGCATTTCTTAACACAAGAAACCTGAACCCAACTGCTGCCAGAACCTCCTGTTGGCAATGAGGATGGGTTGTTCATTGAGTGGGCTAGTTTTGTAGTCTGGAACTTCGAGGGAGCAGTCCTGGCAGGCCTGAATGCCACTGTGTGGAGAGCTGGAGAGTTATTGACAGTGTTTGGTGGCCAGGCAGTAGGGGGAAATACCTTGGGCCCACACAGGTGGTTAGCAGGGCTGGCGATGTCCCCTAACAGGTGCCGCTGGAGGTGTGGCCTGAGGATGAGCGGGAACAGCTGCTGCTGCTAGAACCCCAGGAGTTTCTTCGGAGTGCTGTGCAGCTGTCTGAGGTATCTGGGGGAGATCTGTCATTTGTCTTGTAGGGCTGGAGCTACCATAGAGGTGTTGAGGGAAATACAAGGAAACCTGCTGAGCGCTCTAGACACAAGAGGATTGAAGGTCCTCTGGGAGAATTGAGAATGGTGACCTGGACTGCAAACTGGCCAGGGTGGGGAAGGAGCCTAGAATTCTGGCTGGTAGTACCCATATGTGCTGGCTGTGAGGTCTGCCTACAACGACTGATAATCCCTCGCTTAGCTGCTTGTGTTCCTTGAACTCAAGGGGAACAATGCCTAGTTGATATTTGTCTGGAGTACAGTTCTGCTGATCTCTTAGTGGGTGCTAGTGACCAGGGGTCAGCATTTGTCAAGCACCTGATGGGTGGCCAGCCAAAGGGCAGCCTGGGTGTAAAGTGGACCAGAAGCAAGGGGGCCAGCTCACTTCTGCACCGTAGCTGGAATGTGCCTGTGTACTCCTGGGCCTTAAGGAAGCAGAGCCAAGACCCGGGAGATTCCCCCAGTTCCCTCCTGCCTCTGGAAACGCCGCTCTGGTGGCTATGGCGTGCTGCTGTGGCCCACCTGAGAGCAGGTATGTGATGGTTCTTCTTCCAGACCACAGGTCCACCTTACTCCACACCCTGGCTGCCTCCCAACAGTCCAGCCCGCCTCCACCTGGCTGTCATTGGACTGGATGCATACGTGTGGTACTGTTCTCCCTGAACCAGTAGGGCTGGCTTGGGTGGTGTTCCAGTAAAATGGGATTGCCTCTAGGGGCTGCTGTGTTCCAGCCAGCCCCTCTTGCCCTGGGTGGACCCTGCAGAGGCAGGAGACTTGGAAGCCCAAAGGTTCCCTCTGTTCAGGTCTCAGCAGCCCAGTTCTCAGAGGACATGGCAGCTAAATAAGTCAAAGGAAGCCCACGGCAAGGTGGCCGTCAGCTGGCCCGAGGTGGAGGAGGTAAGGGCTGCCACTGAGTTGCGTTAGATGGCTGGCCTCGGTTTCTGCACTTGGGTTGCTGTATGGGGCCTGTCAGAGCTAGACTTTTTCCCCAGCATAATTGGGTTGGCACTCCTCAGAGGACATCCAGCCCATACCCACTGTCACGCTCCCCAGGCCCTGGTGCTGCTTCAGCTCCACGCAGACCTGGATGTGCTGCTGGTGGCCTCATGGCAGGAGCTGAGTCAGTATGTGTGTGCCTTCACCAAGGCCCTCTCCCAGCGCCCCTCCAAGTATGCACCACCGCAGGGACCTAGTGGAGGTGGGACAGGGTTGGAGGGCCGCACAGATGAAGGTTCTCAAGGCTCTGTCTGCGTTTCCCTCTCATTTCAGGCAGTACCGGGACTCCCAGGCCTTTTCCTTCTGCACAGCAGGGCACTGGGCCTCAGGTCAGCAAGTGGCCAAAGACGGCTCTGGGCTCCGAGGAGTATGGTGGCGGCAAATCAGACAGTTCAACCGGGTCAGCCCAGCTGTGGCTGATGCTGTTGTCACCGCCTTCCCTTCGCCCCGCCTTCTGCAACAGGTGAATCCCCAAGTCCCCTTCCCAGGACTAGGACCTAAAGCCTGCATACTCACACCTGTGCCCACTCTAGGCTCTACTGGACTGCGGCACGGAACAGGAGCGCCTGAATCTCCTAGCTGACCTCCCCGTGAAGGTCCACAGAGGCAGGCAGCCCCGGAGGGTGGGACCTGACATTTCACGCCGAATCTGTATCTTCTTGACCACCACCAACCCCCACCTCCTGCTGGACCTGAGCTCTTGATCACACCTGTGACATCCTTGGGCTGCTTCTTGCCCAAGAGACTGACTAGTCACTCTGAGAGGCAGGCAAGGATTGGGCCCGACCAGCATACTTTTTCAGTATGGGGTAGACCGTTGTTCTCTGGTCAAATGGAAGCATCATGAGAAGCTGGGCAGTAGGTAGCAGGGGCCCTGGAATGACTGGGGCTTCAACATGCCCTTGGCCTGGATCCTGGGTGCAGGAAGCCTGGTGGCAGAATTGAGTGCCCATTTGGGCAATTCCCAGTCCCATTGCCATCTGGAAGCTTAGGGTACATCCTCAGGAAGTAGTAAGAGACCCTTGGGAGAAGAGATCCAAGCTGCTGGACAGACAGACACAGTGAAAGGTAAACCATAGGCACGGACAGCTCAGGCCTTATTAGGGACTGTTTTAATGTTATATAGCCTATGGGAACGAGACAGAAACCCTTCACAGGGCACCCACTGACATCTTTGTAATGGGCAGGAGCTGACAACATGCAGTTGCAAGTCAGGAAAACCCCAAGGCCCCGTGGGTTGGGACAGCCCATCTCCTTTTTCCTGGGCTGTGAGTGTTTGAGTAAGCTAGCATCCCAGGTTTATAATCCAGGTCCTGAAATGTTTGGGCTGCTGTTCCCAAGACACATGGCAACTCAGAGCACAGAGTGCTGCTCCCCCAGCACATGCAGTATAATGGCCTCCACGCTCCACGGCCATCCAAAGACTGTCCTGGCTTCAGGGAGACTGGGACAAGCCTGGACCTCAGTTCTTCCTCTCCTGCTGCCCTAAAAGGGACAGAATAAGGTAGCCGAGCTTCAGCTGGAAAAGTCAGCTTCTTTTGCAGCGCTTCCTCTGACAGGGCCTGGTCTCGGTGCTCTCAACACCAGCTGTGGCTGTGCCAGGAGGGGGTCCAGGGGACTTCCAGTGGTTGCAGTTCATGCTCAGGACCCAGCCCAGCTTGTTACGTAGCACTTGCTTGAGGCCAGGTGGCAAGGGCAGGCCCTCGAGGGTATCTCCTGAATTTGGCCGCAGCTGACGCAGGCGATAGCAGCACAGGTATTGCAGGGAGGTGGAGCTGGCACAGGAGCGGATGACTTTCATGCTGCTCTTGGCAGCTGTGGAGCACACCATTGGGTAGAACCTTCTGTTTTGCAGCCGGGTGGCAGCCACTCCTGGAAGGAAGACTCAACCTGAGTGTATGTAGGTCAGGAGCCAAGAAGCTCCTCCCATAATACACCAAGGTGAACAGGTCATGCCACTCTGAACACAGAAGACAGACTCAGCTTGGCTTCACCTGTCCACCCTGGAGAGCCTCAGATCAGCTGCCTGACTGCACTCTCTGCCCCATCTTTGGTCCCTTGCACCTAACTGAGACCTGGTCAGGAAGGCACCCTCACCTATGCACTTCCTGTTCTTGAAAAAGGTCAGCGTCCCATGCCAGGTGTCCAAGTGTACGCCGATGATAGAGCCCTGGCCGAAGCGTGATGAGAAAGTCATCTTGTCGCCTTTGTGATGGAGGAGGCCTGGGAGAGCAGATGGGTAAGCCTGGGAGGCCTGTGACACTGCCGGCCCCGCCCACAACCCAGGCAATACCCACCAGTGTAGGAGAGGCCCCAGCTGTCTTCGTCCCTGCCAAGCAGGCTGCAGAATGTGTGATGGTACTTGTCCAGGTCTACATCTGAGGTCCCGATGCCCACCATCTGAAACAGTGGGGCTGAGCTAGTTAGGTGCCTAGGGGCTGGGCCCATGGCAGCTACCCTCTTGGCTGGCCATTTACCATGTCAGTGCCATACACAGGAGAGGTCATCTTGATTTCCCAGAAATGCTGGCCATCCCCTAGCTCCTTGGTGCCCCGGATGGCCGCAGTGCCACAGCTGTACTCCATATGAAAGCTGACCTTGCGGTTATCACAGCTCAGCAAGGTGGCTGAGGACTTGTTCAGGTCATCCCAGACCCAATCAAAATCTGTAAGACAGAGGCCCCAAACTAGGCAGGGCTGGGGCAAAGCAGCCTTACTCTGGTGCTAGAGAATCTGCCTGCCCCATCCCCTACCCCAGGCTCCAGTGACAGGCACTCACCCTCATCCTCCTCACCACACCGGCAGTCCTTGCCACGGTGTGCTGTGTGTAGGCTGTTGCAGAAGGTAGCCTCGTTCTGACCCTCACAGTCACAGAAGGACTCCCCTGTCACAGGCACAGCACTGGGGATGGATGGTGGCAGGGAAGAGTACTCAGGGTCGGAGTCAGAGTCGCTGTGCTGGGAGGAGTGACAGATTATTCTATTTATGGCAGCTTTCCTATTGCCAGGCTACTGACCCTATCTCACATCCTCCAGAAGAATCCAGACACCTCCTGGGGTCTCCAGTGTCCAGCATAAGCAGCCTCAGTGCTAAAATTTGACTTGTATGCATGAGAGTACAGTGGAATGGGGAGGTGTTCCCAGAGGACAGCGTCTCACTTGACTTCTTAATGGACTCTAAGATTCAATATACAGCCGTCAGCACCATTTCCGCACAGCCAGAAGCCTGGCCCCCACAGACCACACGAGATGGGGCCCTCCAGCGCCCACCTCCTGCCGTTTCCAGGTAGCTCAAGGTCTCCTAAACCACAGGGCTGGTACTGTCAGCAAGGTCTAGCATCTGGTTCCTCACAGCCTAAGTAAGACCTAAGCCTTAGGATGTGTGCTCCCACCCCATGCAAGGCCACCGGAAGCAAAAGGAGCATATGTAGTGAATCCTAACGGGCTAATGTGGCTGCTGCAAACTCCTCCAGAGATGCAGTCCATGTGGCTGGAGCTCAGTCCTCGGAGGCTGACAGGGCTGGCCAGGTTCCAGCTACTGAACTATTCCCATTCAGCTGCTCGGCAGTCTCCCTGGAGCTTTGGCTTCTGCCTCCTTGGCCTGCCATGCCCTACACAGTTCATGACCCCTCTCTAACCTGAGCAGACCGCAAACATATCAGTTCTGTCGTCCACCCCGGAATCACATCTATTGCCAGCCACATATCCAGCCCTGTGACGGGCACCAGGTGATCCCTGCGATCCCTAAATGGAAGCATTCAGCCACCAACAGAAGCTTGGACCAGATCTTTCACCCCCATATTCTTTCTGCCATACTCAGCGCTGTCCACTGTCCTGTTCTCTGCTTCTTTTGCAATCCTGCCAGCTCCTCGGGCAAGGCCCCAAGTCACACGCCCGATCCCAAGAACCATCATAGTGGTTGTTCAGTACCATGAGGAAGTAGCCAGCACCAGACAGCTAAGGGTGACTGGAGACTAACCTTCAACTCCAGGCCTGTATGCTGGAATAGGGGAGTAGTAACGCCACAGGAAGCCAGACAAAGGATGTAGTAACCAAAGTGAACCTAGACCCTTCAGCAGCCAACCAGAACAGCTATCCTGTCTGAAGGAAAGGCTTATAGGGCAGACCTTGCACCCACTGGCAAAGATGGGCTCCTCTAAAGCCAAGGCAAACCCAGTGAATCAGGAGTCAGGTTATATAGTCAATCTACCTTAGGACAGGAAGGAGGGAGGATGCAGCTCAACCCAGCAAAGGGCCCAGGGACACCAGGAACTGACACCTGACTACATGACAGGCATGCATGTGTCACTGCTGCCATCCCTCAGTGATGACTGAGGCAGTAGCAGGCAGGCATACAGGCTGCTCCAGGGTACACTGTCATTGGGCGTGGCTGAAAATTTGGGCTGACCTCTCAAGTTCAGAAGACCCCACTGACCAAGTCAGTAAATCTATGGCTTCCAAGTTTTCCTCACACCCATGTGAGCAATCCCATGAGCTTCTAGAAGGGATTCTGTGTTGTAGGAAGCTATGACATCAGAGTAGAGGCGACACAGGGCAGGGCCAGAATACCAGTCCAGTAAAGCAAGATTGATGAAGAGCCACCCCAAGGGCCTGGTCAGGTGTATCAAGCTGGTATCTACCCTAGGCCCTGCACTCCTGGGCCTCCCTGTGCCTGGAGTCAACAACAAAGGATGCCTTTGAAAACTGAACTCAAGAACTAAAGATTTAAGAACAAAATCAGAAGCATTTGTCAATGGCCTGAGTTTGATCCCATGGGTATCATATGATAGAAGCATCCTGACTTGACATGCTCATCATGGGGCATGTGTGCCCACACAGTAAATAAACTGCCTCCAGTGTGGCACTATTTCTAAAAAAAGCAGCTGGTGGTAGCATATGCCTTTCATCCCAACGCTTGGGAAACAGAGGCAGGCAAATCTCTGAGTTCAAGTCTAGCTTGGTATAGTTCCAGAATAGCCAAGGCTACATAGAAACCCAGTCTCAAAAAAAGAAAAAAATAAAGACCACAGATCCTTTTATACACATGAATATAAAGTGAATTATTTGTGTAGCAGAAGAAACATACAGGGTGATCAAGATGGTCCAGCATGTGTGTGCTTGCTACAATAAAGGACAACCTAAGCTTGATCCCCAGGTCCCAAATAAAGGTGGAAGGAGAAGACAAGCCCACAAAGGAAAACAAAAATTGTCTCCTGACATCCACCTATTAACTGTGTCACACAACAGTAAACAAAACAAAAATATCCAGAAGGTGGGTACCAAGTTGGCAACAGTTATTCCGGAAACTGGTAGGGCTGATGACCAGGCGTCTGCTGTGCACTGACCAGCACTGTCCAGGACTCACATTTCCTGGGCAGGGATTCCTGTCCATCCTGAGTCTCCGTCACTCTCAAGCTACAAATTCTTTACCAGGCCAAAGAGCCCCCTCCGAGCATGACATCCCAGGAGACAGTCCAACCTCCATCCACACACTGGTCCACCCCACCTTGTCAGTGAGACCTACCTGCCCATCAGAGTCATAGCCCCAGTTAGTGGTGCCTGCCAAAGCCACGGCTCGGGCATCTGTGTCTCGGCGGGCTGCACTCAGAACAAAGTGCCATGCTCTGCTACTCCGCGGACGCCGGGCCATAGTGGAAAGGACCTGGAGAAAAACTTAATTGTAAGTCCTAAAGACAATGTGTCAGAATACCTAAACAAGACCAATACCCAGACTCTGCCCCCTGGTATTTCTGGGCCACCTGGCAGGCTAGGCCACAGACCCACCACAGGATGGGGACTACGCGGGCCTGAACACTCAGCCTGGGCTCCAGAAACTCCCACAAGCTCATACCTGGCTCCAGTATCTGAGCACCTCAATCAAGCCCAGGGCGATGGTGTGAAACGCAACCCAGACACCCATAACTC